AAGACCTTTTACTCTCTCTATTGACTCATGTGACAGGGATGATTGTAGGCCGTAGATTACCGTTGACGTCATATCTGGGGTTAATCTTCATCTAGTTTGGTTTTACCTGATGGTGGGAAAAAACCAGGCTACACCAGGGGCTGAGCAGTATCAGAAGACCGGGGCTTTGTTCTGCATCTGCCCAGAGCTGTCGCGGCAATTCAGTCATTTACGGAATATTTATTGAGCACCTATTTTGTATGAGGTGTGGTTTTAACTGTGGGGCTTTAGTGTCCTCACTGGGAAAGTTGCATAGGAGGCTGACCGCTTGAGTTTGAGGCCCTTTTGTCACTGAAAGATTGGGTTTATATGACTAGCTATTTTATATACATCTTCCTTGAAGTGGTGATAGTGATAGATATAAAAAAACAAAACTTCAAGTACCTCTAGTCAGAAACATCCCCCGCTTCAGCTTTTGTAAATGAGCAAGGCATTCTCTTTGGTTTAACTGGTGTTTTATTTGAAACCCATTAAAAGAAGACTACCCTGAAACAAAATTCTTTTGGAGTACACTAAGGTTGACAAGGGTGCATGTCAACTCCGTGAATGAAAAACAGTAGTTCTAATAAAATGAGTTAAGTTCATTACTGTCTAAGTTACATACAGTCTATTTTTAAACTGTCTAAATTGCATACAGTTTATTTTTTGTGGTGGTACCACGAAGTTAAAGACTCAAAGTGAGATGTGGGATAAAATTTCTTTTTAACACATTTTCTCAAAGAATTGAAAACAAAATTATATACTAGAAGTGAGCCAATGTGTGGCCACCATATCTTGATAATATTGTCTTATCGGTAAGGAAAACTTTTTTATTGGTAGATGTGATGAAATTCTGAATTCTAGAGATGTATCTACCAAAACTTCTAGCAATTTCCAGTATCATCCTTCAGTTTTCTTATAATCCAAGTCTCAGTTTATTACCTTTCTTAATTTGAATCAAAACCTACTTATTACAAATTAATTAAATCCTACAAGAGCAAAAAAAATCCTCTAAATAATAAAATTTCCACATACCAACTAATTAAGATTTTATTTTAAGTAGCAATTGGTGTGATAAAAATACAACACAATGTAAGAGCTTGAGGAATCTCCGTGCAATGGAAATATGCTTTAACCAGTAGTTATTTCTGAGTGACCTTGTAACCATCATTTCACTGCTGAATTGAGGGCATAAAATGGTATACATGGGAAAAATTTCATTCTTAAACCATAAAGGAAGATTAATTTTCAATAGCGGAGTACATGGATTAGTATTTTAAAGAATAGAAACTTATTTTAAATAGTTAGAAAATTGAATTCCTATTTCATTGTTGAATAATAGGTTCTGTATATTTCCTACATACATAGGCATTTTAGGAATCTCCTGATATTAAACTGATGTCAAAAAGAAGAGAAAATATATTTATAGATGCCATTTCCTAAGTCATGCATTTCTCTCTCTTTCCCCCGCTTCACTCTACCTCCCATGAACCTCCCTATCCCCATCCCCAGAAGTGAGATACACACACTTAAACCATTTTAAAAAGGAATTAAGAAAAGTAACTATTCTCTGGAATTTAACAGACTGCCAATATCAACACAGTATTTTAAAAGTACTTTGCTGTAACCTGTTTAGATGATATACAATTTACAAAAATTGAGGTTATAGAACTTATTAATACTTAAACTGGAAAATTGGCTTCCTCAGATCCAGATTTTTACATTCTTCTGTCCTAGCTATATTTGTTAAGATAAGCTTTTTACTTCAATATTACTGAACAAAACTCTTATTTTCCATTTCATAATTTCCTAGGCAATCATATGTGAGCAATACTATTATCAGTCTGATTTATAAAAATAGATATAGTTACATTACTCACTTTAGTCTTTCTTTGACTTTTCGCTGTGGGAGTAAGTAGCGAGTGTCTGGACAGTGACTTCTTGGTGAATCAACAATGAGTTAGGGAATAGCTGTGCACACCTGATGTCTAAGATTAAATACAGAGTCTTGAGTACGTCTGGCTTATTCGTATTTTAACTTCATCGATAAGTGACAAAATGTTTTATTTTTTTCCTAAAAACCAAATCTTTCCTTTCAGCTTTCTCCACCAGTTTCTGTAAATGTTTTTGTTGAGAATTTAATGCTTGTACAGTCAATGGCGATTTAAAATATATATATATATATTATATATGTATATGGAAAAACTTTAAAGATGCTTTTAATTTATTTAATGACTGTTGCCTTTTTATGATGGTAATATTTTTCATCCTTAGACGATGAGGAAAACATTTTACTATAGGTGTTATAAAATGAAATTTGGTTCTTTAGGCCAATCCATGTAAAGGGCGTATTGGTGTGAATCCGTGTAGGACACGTCACCACCAATGTAGAAGCTTTGCTGAATTTGTATCATTTTCTTTCAGTAATGAAGAGCATTCCTTATGCAGTATGAAAATAAAACTTGCTTAATTGACTGTTTCCTCACTCTTTTCTACGTATTGGGAAAGATTGTGTATCTAAAACATTATCAACTGAGCTGCATTTGAAAAGAGGTCATGAAGGTTAGGTACAGAGTTGAACATTTCCAAACGGTTTCATCAAGGTTCATCATAACCTTCATAATATTATGTTAATACATATAATATTAACATAACATGATTTCATTATATTATGATTATATATATATAATATTAACATTGCATGATTATGGAATAATGTTGAAATATATCCATAATGAGAAACATACCATCTGAACTTGAGAAACTGAATTTGAATTACTTAATATTTTCTTTTCTTTTTTAACCACAAATTCCACATTTTGGACTTGCGGATTTTTTTCTTTCTGGATGCCTGACTCACTATTTAGACAATACTTTTGTTTCGTTTGTTATTACCATGTCCTGTCCATTTCAGAACGATCAGTATCTAAATTTACTTTGATCATTGAGATATATTTATTTTATTTTATTTTTATCATTAAAATGTATCTAGCCATATTTTTAGGTCATAGCTTTCTCCTGAAGGAAAAAATAACCTGAGAGTAAGACATAAAACAAGCTTATGTACATGTGTAATGTCATTACCACTCCTTCAATTTATCTCTGAGATGTGTGCTGTCATCTTATTTTAACTCTCTTAATCTATCTCTATTAGACTGCGATGGTTGCATTTCAGAACTATTAATATGAGTTCATTTTAGAGATCATTGCAAACAAGTTTCTTAACCTTGCAGTGCCTCATATATCTTATCTATAAATTGGAGCAACAAACTTCTTGCCTCACAGGGTCGCTACAAAGTTTCATGACCGATTACAGAAATTATACACACAGCAACCCAGCCAAGAATAAAGACTTAGTTAATATCGATTATTACAATATTACTAATGTTATCTATTCTAGTCTTTTCATTTCCCAGGTGATGAAATGCAGGCATGCTATGGTATACGCTTATCTGGATGTCTACCCTCTATGCTCCCCCTTTAGAAACCGGCCCCCACCAGCAGGAGTGGGTTACTTCACACATGATGAAAGTGGGCATCTACCAGAAGCTGGATGGATGTGGGTCAAGCTGGAAGGTTACGTAGCAGCAAAACTGGTGATAGGAGCTGTAATTGATTTTTAACAGGCATGTGGGACATTTTAAAAGCCAGTTTCAGAGAGAGAATAATGGTCATAGAGCACAGGGCCTTACAGTGTATTATTTATTTCTTATTTCCCCACGACTTTG